TGATGGGAGAGGGCAGCATTGATAATTGGCGACGTCTTCTTGGACCAACAGCAGTATGGCAAGGAGTGAAGCTCCAAGCAGTATTAGGGCAAATTTTGGAACTGGTAAATTATAAGTGTCCTTAGATGTAGTGTGGACTTCAATGGCAGTTTGTACCTTTTGAATAGTAAACATCCTTAGTCAATTGTACTGTGATTGGCAACGGCGCCCGAAAGTGATGGGCGTTGTATCTTCAAATGAGCATAGGACTGCCATTTAATATCGTATTCATTACCTACAGGAATTTTTCAGTGACATGAAATTGTTGAAAGCGTCTAGTGCCCACACTGTAAAGTAATTTTTTTTGTGTGGACAATATCTTAAAAACCAACTCAAATTTGCACGGAAAAAATCGCTAGGAAAATAGGTGTGTGGAATAGTAACTGCCTTTTAATACATTGGTTGTATAATTAGAGATAGGCCAAGCCTAATTTTTGGTGAAGTTGTGCAGAAATAGGCCCTTATTGTGTTTTAAATGCACTGTCGGAAATATAGGGCTAATTTTTGCGTGGAGGATATAATTTTCCCTGCGCAAGCCATATTTTACAGTTTGGTGTGGTGCAGCGTGTAAGGTGTTGGGCTTTTAATCAGAAAATCTAGGGTTCAAAACTGATGCTGACCATGCTGCTTGTGTCCTTGGGCAAAACTAGTTTTTCTCACTCGCATTGCATTTGAGATTTTTGTAATCTTGGAGATGAAAAAGTACTATTCAACAATCGTTGACTATACTTGAATATCCATTTTAAATCAATCTCGCGTGACCTGTTTTCAACCAATCAAATTAATAGAATATATACAAGTGTTGTATAATAATACATTGCGAATAGGATAATCATTCTATAGTGTAATTTTATAAAAAGTAATCATGCTTAACTCGCCATTTTAATTTATTTCAGATAAGACTCGAAATGCCTGCCGCGAATCAGATTCTCCGGGGTCTGCAGAAAGAGAGACTGATTTCTTCTTCCGTTCAGCAAGAAAGAACACGGCTAAGCTGAACCATTGTACTTGCTGCATTATAAAACAGCAGTGAAAAGTGGTCAGTAAACAAACAAAAAATAGTAAATAGAATTATTTTCCAGTGGCATTTTCACTAATTTTGCTCTTACATCCCAAGTTTCTTTGAGGAATAAATATGAAGAGTAATGGTATTATGCAATAGAATTGTCTCAAGGCACTGACAGTATTCAGATCATGAATGCCATTAGAACAAAAAAAATAAAATAAAATAAAATAAACAAACGGCCATTCTGATAATAAAATGAGACAACAGTTGCATAATATAGCGGTATGCGGGGGCGCACTCCCCCTAAAAGACCTGCACCTCCCCCATTGAAAATGTTTGAAGCAAGAAAAACAGTAGATAAAAATCACCTCATATCAACCCCAGCTTCACTTTTGTGTTTGTCCCCCACCCCCATCCTCCATTTCCAGACTCCTAGATATGCCACTGGACAACAAACAAATATGGCATTAATTAAGACTGTAGTTACAATTTATAACATGATCATTGAATGGATTCTTGAGTTCCCTGCAAAGTGTATGTTTTCAGCCATTTCTAGCGATAAATCAAGAAGTCCACATGCGCATATAACTCTGTGTGGACCTAGTTACTTCCTAAATCTTACCGTCATTGCACAATTAGAAAGGTTCTAAGTATTGACAGCGCGCTGTAAATGTGTCATTTTGTTTAACCAGATTCAAACATCAATATCAAAGCCAATACCAATATCCTTTCATTCATCATTTGCATGTGTAATAAAAATGATTTGGCTACCTTTGGTCGATAAGTAAACAATTCAAATACTCCCAACTATGCAACTCGGGTTAGAGACGTTACTTCAATGGGTAACATAAGATAAAACCAGAGCCTCTGGGCTCGCATGCCATAGTGCTCATCTCTTTCTATAATATTTGGCCAGTATTTACCGACAACGATAAGATCTAGAATGTAATGACATCCAATAATCTGCGCATGCGACAACATTGATTTATCTACAGACATGGAGATGTATAACAAATCCAGGGATCACAATTATAGTATTGTGCCCTTCCAATAGCAATTAACATTGTTAATAATGTAAAAAATGATAAATTCAAAATCAAAATATAAATTTTTATTATCAATGTAAGTCTATTACATTTCTTTTGTTTTTTTTTTTCTTTTGGTACAGGTCAAGCCGGAGAGATTATGTCCGCTATCTGTCAGGCAGGTTTTAACATCTCCGCACTGGAAATGTTCCACATGGAGCAAGCTAATGCTGAAGAGTTTCTTGAGGCTTACAAAGGAGTTGTTAATGAATACGTGGTAACTGATTGTATTTTTTATCTTGACAATACATTGGTAGCTGTGATTATCATTATTGTCTTAAATCGTTAATATCTTTTGCCAAGGAACCATATATTATATTAATTTCTCTTTTTTTAAATTTTATTTATTTGTATATTTATTTTTTATCAGATGTGTATAAGAGACAGCAGGATGAGAATGATACTTTATAAACCAAGTCTTTTTATGAGGCTTACGGAGTGGAGTTGTTTTTAGTCGTGAAAAAGGAACCTGCTGTGACAGGAATTGAACCCAGGACCCAGGGATTAGAACCATGTGTAAATCAGGCTGTTGCACCCTCCTGATATGTTATTCTGTATAAATATATTAAATAACTAAATAATTAAAATATCCTTATATGTTATCCTATGTTAAATAAATAAAATATCCTGATATGGTATCCTGTATAAATATGATAAGTTAATAAATTAATGAAAGAATGGATGGATGGATGGATAGCTGGATGGATGTATAGATGGATATTGATATTATTAAAAGTGGTATCATTATTAATTTCTTGCCTTTATTTTTATTTTGTCAAATAAAGCTTCTTTATTTCTGACAAATAAAGCTTCTTTATTTCAGACAATAAAATGCTTTTACAAAATAAACATTCGCTTTTGTGTGTGTGTAACAATTTGATTAATATTGCATAATTATTTAACAATTATCCATATGAATGACTTGGCTTTTTTGCAGGATATGGTGACCGAGTTGTGCGCAGGCTCTTCTATTGTGCTTGAAATCTCGGGCTCTGATAATATTACTACCACTTTCCGGGAATTTGTAGGCCCAGCAGATCCAGAAATAGCCCGACATCTGCGACCAAAGACCCTACGAGCAAGGTTCGGCAAGAACAAGGTGCAAAATGCTGTCCACTGTACAGACTTACCGGAAGACGGTATCCTCGAGACAGAGTATTTTTTCAAGATTTTGAGTTCATAGATTTGATAGGCAAATTGAATATGCAGGCAATTTATGTCAGCCGTGTAAATAAATATTAGTTTTGTTGAAACATTTGTATAAAAAACATACTGAAAATATTGTACAAATTGTTCTGGTTGTACTGTACTGAAGTTATTCACTATAAAGCAAAACACATTTATTAAACTATGCTCAGAATATGTTATACAGTATCTATATAAAAGAAATAATTTTGGTTTTATATAAAAGAAATTATAAATCAAATATAAAAGTTCTTTGATTTGGACTTTCATCACCACTGTGCAATGTCAGTGCAGATCAGTATATGTCAGTGTACAGAAGCTTGGATGCATTCTCTTATAAATTTTTCAGGACGAATATGTAATAAAAGAGACCCAAAGTTGTCCTAACAGACTTGTAAATTTATCCTCAAAAAGAAGCCCATGGTCTTCTTTTCAAGGTAGCATTGGCCTCTTTTTTGAGATATTCACATACACTGTACATCAGTTTCAGAAAACAAAATAAATTAAATACAAACTTGTTTTATACAGTTGTTTAGGTGGTTTAATGCCAGTTAAGTTCATTCCATAATACAGATTGCTGTTACAGTGGCCTTATTTACTGTTATATAGTACAAATTCACAACATTTCAGCATTCATTTTGAAAAGAAGTCCACCCAAGCTCGCAAAGAAAAGAAGTAGACCAGACTTCAATTCGAGGTTTTACGGTGTATTAATAAATGGCGCCCTCTATTAAATATACGAAATCTGAATTTGATTTTTCAATGATGAATTGATCTTGATTATATTGATTATTGTGTCTGGTCAAGGTCTGGTAAAGATGGCCATTTTACAACCTATGGACAGGGTTAGCGCCAGCAGGGCTGGGAGCCAGGCCCCCCCGCCGGGGAGAAAAACCACAATTCGTCAGGGAGAAAAAAAAAATTATATGTATTTTCTATATAATCAGTAGGCCTAGACTCTAAAATCAATTAAATACAGTAAGCCTTTGAAACCCCTTATTTGTCAACATTTTCGGAGCTTTGCCCCTGGACAACTTTCAGAACATTTTAAGCGACGCTCGACCACGCCCACTTTGCTCTCTTCTGGGATATCTTCCCCCTCATCGGGGCATCTCCCCCTCCCCGGTCGGGACCGCGGAACCCTTCTCCCTCGGGCAAATCCTGGCGCCACCCCTGCTGCCTACGGAGTAAGTGATAAAAAGAAAAAACATGGGAGTAGTGAAATTGGTTTGTACCGTATCGCGATTAAACTTTTCAAGTCGCAGTTTATCTCCATTCAGCTATTATTATTAGCAGGAATTATCTAACCAATCATACTGCAACATTTATTGAGGACATAATCTGATAGGCGATAGGAGGTGTGTGTTGAGAATTGATTAGAAAAAAAAAAAGAATAACAGTATTTTCCGTTGCACAGTAATTCACTGCTTCTGGTTACACCAGCCCGTTGAGGGAACCACATGGATAACATAACGGGATTGTGTGGATTATATGGACACGTTCTCTGACAAGTTTTGAATCTTATTAAGATGTCTTTTTTTTTATTTCCGAAATTACAACGGTCCATGTTTCATCACTACTAGGTTTCGTATACGAAGGGTTCTGGATGTAAATCGTTTTATCGTTTTGTGTCTTGAATTTGTTTGTATCGATCTTGTTTTATATCATAAAACTTTTAGCAGACTTGAATTGAACTTTTACCGTAGGCCTACGTTGAAGAATTACATCGGCAATGAAGCGATGTTTGTGCAATAGTTTATGGTAACCATGAGCTTTTTTGCCCAGGAGCAACGGCGGAGAATGATGCAAAAGGTAAGATACTTTAGAGATTACCTATAATGACGTATTTTATTAGGCCACTGTATGTGGTTTTTAAACCTTTGATTTTCCATTTTTAATATATTGTATTCTGTTTTTACTTCGATTACAATATTGGAATAAACCTAATATAATAATGTTTTGAAA